ATCTATTCAGCAAAGGCTGTAGGAGGGCGAAACCGAAATCCATATTAAGAATTACCGATATGATAAGACCATTTGCTATAAGTCACTGTTATAGCAAGGATTACATTCTCAATTCAGAGGTTATTAGTTTTTTAAGAATGACATAACAAGGAAACTGTTATCGCTTTCCAGGCTCTTCTGAGCTATATGGCTAGGAGTATACGTTGCTTTCAAGTTTTCGCTCCCTTCTGCTACTGAAGCACGGTATGTCGATCTACTTGCAACTTTTGAACCCAAGAATAACAAGAGAACTAATCTCAATAACAGGCACCAAAATGTATTCGCAAACAATCGACCTAAATATCGTTCTAATAAAAATTAAAACAATTACAAAACAAACTTCCAACTTTTTAGGTTCTCGGAATAAAATGTCCAAATATCAAACCAGATAAAAAGTGTAGAATCCAAACTACGGTTTGGATGTTGAAGAATAGCCGACCGGGGACTTTAGACACGCGCTCTTTCCCGTCGAAATCAAAACAAGCAATCGGGTAAATAGCGGTTCTATAATTCATCATAAATTGAAATGTAAATCGTTACCTAAACAAATATTACCACCCGGCTATTCAACCAATAATTGTTCAATCAATCAAATCTAAATTACAATAAATAAAGAAGTTGATAGAAGATGAGGGAAAATTACCAGTCACAACAAATGAACGTTATTCTATCCTGACTGGATAGAACACACAGAAAAGGAGGAGCAAATCAATATGCCTACCACCAAGAACAAGTGTCAAGTAAAACAACACAGATGCAGTTCAGGAAGAAACACAAACTTAGTGAACGCGTAAGAAAAACAAAAATTATAATAAAAAAATACAAGTATTAACAATTCAGATGTAACCAAAATACAACAATGTACAACTAAGGGGATCAATAGGAACAAAGTACAAGTATATACATGGAGGGATTTTCACCACCACACAAAACCTTCAAAATGGATCTTACACAAAGAGAAACCAAAATGTTCGAATATATAAACAAACACGTTTAGAAGCTGAGTAAAACAAATAAATCTCAAAGTAGTGAAGTTATTAAAATTCAACGTGGCAGTTCTTAATCAAATGTCAAATGTGTTCAGCCTACTTGTAGCAGTATGGAAGTGGGAATCATAATGAGAAGTGTGTAAGCATAAACCATTTGAAATGTTTCTTTCGCATACATGGATTGAAATGCAAACTATAAAATACTGTTTTCCTCAAAGTTTCAGCTGGTCTCAAAATGTATCAAGTGAATTTATGGTAAGCCATCCATTCATAAATTCTGTATACATTTTGTTTCAGTTCATGTCACATTCGATATACTAAGCCGAGGTAAACTACCGTAAATTTGAAAGCTGGCTCACACCACACCGATTTCCAAAGGCGGACGATGCAGTGATCCTTCAAGCTCTTCTCTCTTTCAGCCCCCTTGAGATATGGAACAGGTTACTTCATCCTGCACCATCCTTAAAGCCTTGGATATCCCAAAGGGGTATAAGGTTGCGATTTCTAGAAGCTCATGCCTTTAATGGGCCTATTCTTGACCATCAGTCGCACATTCGCAACGCAACTCTCGTGAAGCGCGCCAACTATAGTACTGATTAAAACAATCTACATTCATGTCTTATAAATTTTCAACCCAGCTATGTAATTTAATACAGTGTATATTGTATCATTTGTATCAATTTGATCTTGCCTGTAAACTGGCATGCCTCATGTAACAAACTGTTATTTGAGAATAAATTATTATTATTATTATTATTACACCTTCAAAAACCATGGGGTCCCTGATGTGAGATGATATATATGACTATTTACCGTCGTTAAATTTCTTCTCACCCCAACAGTATGGTTTCAGGGAAGGTCACACTTTTATAACCAACCTGCTCACTGCAGTGGACAGATGACAACCATTTTTGACCGCGAGAGGGAGGTTGGTACGATATATTTCGACTTCTCAAAAGCTTTTGATAGTGTCAACTTTATATGTCTTATCAAGAAGTTTAAACGATTAGACAGCAAATCACTATTAATTGGTTGGCTCACTCCATGTCTAAAAATCGATGTTACAGGGTCAGTGTTACCTTCACTTTCTGTCGGGCTATGGAATGTCCTAGTGATGTTCGCCAGGGTTCACTACTGGGACTTTTTCTTTTCTTGAGTTTTATAAACGTTCTTTCACAGCAGCTATCGTCTGACTTATTACGTTTTGCTGATGATGTGAAACTTTGGAGAGAGCTACGTAACCCAGAGAAGAAATTTGCACTTCAGGAGGATGTGAATCGACTTGAAAGCTGAGCCGATGATAATTGACTTACCCTCAACAATTCAAAATGTAAAGTAGTCCATTTGAGACATGTTGCAGACTGCGGTTATAACTTAGGAAACTACTCTCTAGAAGTATCACAAGTTGAAAAAGATTTAGGAGTGCTGGTACCTTACGATTTCAAGTCTTACGCTAACTGTTACAAAAATGCATTTCGAGCAAATCTTGCACTGGTAACATAGAAGCGCGTGTTTGAACAGTTTGACGGGAGAACTTTCTACATGATCTTCAACAGCTTCACTCGTCCTCATTTAGAGTACGGAAACATAGTATTTCCTCACTCCGAAAGTATAAGGATACTCAGGAGCGTATCCAACGGCGAGCCATAAAATCAGTTTGGGAACTCAAATTCAAACCTTATGAAAAGCGCCTCCAATCACTTAACCTTTACCCATTGGAATATAGGCGTCTTAGAGGTGACCTTCTGATGGCTTATAGTATACTTAACACTTCTGGACATCTTCTTAAACACCTACTTAAACTTAGTTTTAACAATACTCTAAGGGATAACACCCAGAAATTGGAAATAGAACATAGCAGAACGGACTGTAGACACAACTTCCACTCCTTAAGAGTTGTCAAATGCTGGAATTCGCTGCCGAATGAACTAGTCCAAGCAACTTCTCAGGAGTAATTTAAAGTAAACTTGACCTATTCTTAAAGACTAAGGACAACATATTATTATGATTTACTGATTTCTTTTTTCTAGTGTATTATAGTTAATATACCTAGGTTTCTGCCTGGAGGTATTCGTGATCCACTGCTACTAGACATGAAAGCACGATGAGCGGAAGCTTCTTCTATTCAAATACAATAAGTTTCATTGTGCTCACGTATTTCTATATGGCTTAAATTATACTATGTCGAGTACTCATAGATAGCAAGATAATTGAAATACTTCCGATTATCATAGGTATGCTACAGTTTATTGTGAGTTAAGATACATATATTAAACCGATGATTTTTCGATTAAAGTGAATTAAATACTCATTTTCTTCTTTTTACGATTGGGTGGATAAAACGGATCTGAAATATTGATTGCCCATTTAATTTTCCCGACTGTGATCTGTAAATACACAAAATCATTAAAACTGCTTTGTGGTGGACCAGACGATATATAAACACAAAAAGTATCAACAAAGTTAATAAAAATCAATAGTAATATTAATATATATCAGTTAAATGTTACAAATACAACAAAAATGGGACTTTACTTAAGTTCACCCAAAATGATGCGTGTTCGGCTTTAATCTGGTACAATAAATCCACAATTATAGATGCTTGGTAATTCCAAACGTATCGATGAACTCCTCAGTGGTGTAATCCAAAGTAAGATATGGTGTATTCGCTCTCACAGTCTATGAATGTAAATAATATTTGTTTTATATCTCAGTTAACTCAATCTCGAATGAAAACAGAACGGGGAAGCAGTGTATTTGTTATCCAGCAACGACATGTCACGCTATGTAGTATCACAACGGAAAAAGTCTTCAAGGTCATTTACTTAAACAACAGGTACAATCATTTAATGATAAATGTACATGCAGTGAGAAATTGACAAAATAAATACAAATAATATTAAAACTATTTACAAAATAAGCTTGTTAGACTTATCTCCACAGCTTGCATAGTATACAGTCATGAGCCCTTATTATTATTTGTAACTTTATTAAATATTATATTTTTGGTGCTATATAGAATTTTCAGCACAAAGTGTTTTAACAACTTTTCGTTTCTTACTTCTCGGTCGCTCTTGACGACAAATAAAGAGTGGTCGCCAGCTAGAAGTTTGTAGTCCATGAATCGACTTCAGAATAATATGAATTCTTTTCGCTGCATATTGCCAACGACTACGATGTCTCTGTTAAGCTTCGCGACTTCTTAACAGGTTTCACGATTAACACACACTGTGACGAGTTAAAAACAACTAACTTGTTGAAATATATAGGTGGCAGAAACAGGTAGCTCAGATGTTCAAGCAAGCCACCCAGCATTTGAAATCTAAGATAATGATACTCCAACCACCAAAAAGTTCTAAAAAGTGCATCAACATTTATGATTTTGAAGATTTTCAATTATTCATTTTCATCACACCACCGACGGAACGATGTTTGAAGACTTTCAGTCTCTGTACTTACAATAGATCTGAAGATTTAGTTTCTTTACACTCTGCATGACAAGTTGGCATATTTATCACAGTAAACAGAGACACAGTATCGAAATTCTCGAGAACATATTTGGTGCTTTACACACTATAAATTTGTTTCTACAGGTTTCCCATCACGGAAGTGCTCGTACATTTCCTAATGTATTCATGTGTCTACTCAGAGACGATATCGGAAAATTTATTTTTGGGCCACATTTAGGCGCTACAGGTTATCTTTCCCTGATTCGAATCCCCTTATACTTGAATAGATTTAATATATCACGGGCAGATTTCAGTAGTAAAAATGTATTAAACGTGATTTACCGTATGGAAAACGTTAGTTTAACGCTTATATGAATTCACTGTGGTTAACTGCAATTTGTACAACGCGAAAACAGAACAGCTCAATTCATAGAAGAAGCAGATAGTGGGAAGCAAATAACTGAAAATCTCTGACGGCAAAGTTTAAAAGTGCCTTGTTTGAACCATTAAGTGTTTAGGTTCAGGCTTGAGGTCAAATAAAGCGGTATGATTGTTATAAAGCGGTATCGTGTGGTGTCTGCATGTATTCATTGCCTTCTCTATGTAAGAAGAATTTATTTGTGCATATATTTTTTATTCAGTAACTTATTGGTAAATTCTTGCAACCTATCACCAAACGTACAAGCTTTCGTAATTTCGAAAGAGGAATCCTGGATAATGTGATGTAAAGACAGTTTCAGTTTGGAAAGGAAAAGACAGGATGCTTGATGGCCTCTGTTAGTTCTGTCAATGATGGTCTCTCAGTTGCTCCAACTTTCTGAAAGATTTGACAAATGGAGCTTCAACCACATGCTGAGGTAATGAGTTCCACTCGTTGATGATTCGATGGGAAAATCGATAGTCAGCTGACAAGTAATTTGTTCTGGGCTTGTAAACTTTTTTGGAGTGCCCTCGTAAATCCTTTGTTTCGTAAGACAAGAAAAATGAGGGCGTATCAAGTGCAAATTCATCAATAAGCAATTTGAAAACTGTAATCAAGTCGCCTCTAGTTCTTCGTTATGACAACGGGATTAGGTTTAACTTGGCCAGTCTAGCATCATACAAGATCTTCGCTATTCTAGGATTCAGCTTAGTTGCTGTTCTCTGAACCTTTTCCAAAAGCTCACTGTCTTTTATTAAGCAGGGGCTAGCCGCTTGCATGTGTCACTGAAGTTTAGGACACACGAACATTGTATACAAAGGCAAAAAAGTTTTAGCGTCGAGATGACTAAGAGCGCTGTGTATTGAACATAAAGTTCTAAGACCTTCGTCAATTATTGCACGGTAGTATGCATTCGTTTTCATGTCTTGGCTAACGATGACTCCTAAGTCATTTTGTATCTGGACAACAGGTAGCTAAGTGTTATTCATCGTGTATGTATCTGTACCTTGATGACCGGTATGCATCACAACACACTTGGAAGTGTTTATCGGCAACTACCAAGTTTGAGACCATTCAGGTAATTTCTCCAGGTCATTTTGGAGTTCTAAGCTATCACCCTTACATTGTATCGTTCTCCATATCTTGACATCGTCAGCATATAGCAAGACCGATGATGATAGGAGATGAGGGAGGTCATTTACATACAAGAGAAGTAACACTGACCCCAAAACTCCAATAAGCACAGTTTTCCAGCTAGAGAACTTTGCGTTCACCCGTACTCCTTGTTGGCGCCAAACTAGGAGGTCTTTTATGCATATCAACAGATAACGTGCAACCCCGATATTTTTTAACTTATATAACAGACGATTGTGCAGAAATTTGTCAAAAGCTTTGCTGAAGTCAATGTAGGCTACGTCTACAGATAACTTCTTGTCCTTGAAAGCGCACCAGCTTTCACGAGCCAGTAATAAGTTAGTGAGACAAGGATAACCCATTCTGAAACCGTGCTGCTTCTCCGAACGGATCCGGTTTCCATCGAGGTACTTAAACAGCTCCTTCTGAATAATCTTTTTTAAGATTTTAACAACCACACTAGTTAGGCTAAAGGGTCGGTAATTCTCAGGTTTATGTTTCGTATCTGTTTTGAAGACAGGACTTACTATGGCGTTCTTCCAGTCTTTTGATAAACGACCCTGGTTTACGGTTAGATTGAAGTATATACTTAAAGGGTTCGCAACGAAGTTAGCTAATTCCTTTGGTGACCTAAGATGCAGTTCATCGGACGCCGTGAATTTGCTTATGTCCAGCTTATTTAGCAGACCAAAGACACCGAGTTCTTTAATGATCATGCTGTCCCCAAAGTCATAAGAAACATGGTAGTTTTACCCAAAGTTTGGGAAAAAACCCAAATTGTTATAAGATTCTGAGGAAATATTGGAGAAGTCCTAAAATTTACCTAAGCATTTCGGGGATTTCCCCAGACCTGGGAAATTTTCTGGGTTTTGCGTCATTTACCCGAAACTTCCACAAACTTTCGTATTGCGGCTTCCCCAAAATTTACGCAATACGGACAAAATTTCCCCAAAATAGAGGGATTGGGTCTTACGTTTACATTTTTTCTGATCCTTTGTCTATATGCAAATAATAGTAAAGTGCTTTTTAGTTGCATTAGTATGTCGGCAATAATGTAATATAAGCTAGGTAACAGTAATGAATCAGTTGATAAGGTTATAAATCTTCGTCAACCTAGGTGGTTAGGACATATTTTACTCACACTCAACCAACGCTGGCTTCAACGTATGTGTTAGGTAATTCTAGAAGTTTTACATTATTTTTTCTTGCGGTTCTTCATTACTTTTGATGCCATCGCTTTCACTTCTTGATTTTCCTTATTTTCATTTTGTTATGCTGACCCAGTTTATAGTAACTTTGATTGGTGCATATTTATACAAGATAATTTTTTACCTGTCTACCTAAACTGTATGCCAGATTGACTTTTAAAAATATTCAGCAAAATGGTCTAGAAAAGTATTTCTGTGTAATAGTACACCTAACATTTTAGCACCAACACTTTAAAAGATACTCTCCCAGTTTCCATTTACTTTTTGTCCTACCATATCACAGCTTGTTTCTCGTAGTTTTCATAGCTTAAACAGAAAATATTAGTAAGTGGACCCTATGTCTGAGTATATTTTGGTTCCTTGTCGATGTTTATACATAGTTATTAATTTTTGTTCCAGAATTTAAATTGCATAGCTGCATATGTCGGAACAGTCCGTAAGACATCGGTTTCTCGCTCTTCCTAGTGAGCAAAGGCTGAAGTTAGATAGAGTCACTTCTCCTCGTTGTCAACTAACCCCTGTCCCCAATTTATCTACAAGTGCAATCTTGGATATTAACGATACTTCAATAACGGTTACAGGTGATGATTTCGAGGATACATGTATTCTTGGTGAGTTAATTGTGTTCCCCTCACTATATATAGCTCTCTAAATCAATTTGCATCCTTTTATGTTTTAATGTGATGTCCAATACATTCGACTTTAGCTTAGTCAGTATTCTCACTGAATATACTGATCCGAAAAATTTAAAAGAGATAATGAAGTAAGCTAGTCGGAAACTAGAAGTAAAATTAATAACTGATGTCAGTAAAGTTCTGTTAGAAGATATAGTTCTGTTTTGTATACCCCATATAAAACAATCACTGTAAAGAATTTGTAAGTGGTGTCGTTTTTTCTTACCTATACTTAATTATGAAAGCTGTCAAAGCAGTTTCTTTGTAAAACAACTGGATAGTAGCCACTCTTCAGGTCGCCTCCAAATGCCCTGGTACGGCCGAGAGTAGGGAGAGTCCTCTCTCCCTCTCGAAATGCTCTCACATGGTCACGCGTATATAGCCTCTGCTAGGGAAGTCCTACTCACTGCCTTCTCGCACCACGGGTGTTGTTTACGAAATTGAGAGGACGAAAAGCGAATGTCCAGTGCTTTAACCGGGTTGTTGAATTTGGAGGACCCACTTAAGGGAATTGTAAAACTGTGATTCCAAACAAATGGTGCACATAGGCTGCGGTATCTTGAAGGAACAAATGGCGTTTGAACCAATCGTTGGTCACCGGCTACCATGAGACTGCATCTTCTGACGTTGCTCCACTGCCTTGTGGATCAGGCCTTCAGGTCAAAGGCTCGATTTATGGCCTAAGAGAACCGTCTGTCCCAGTCTCGGCACCCAGGTAGTATCCTAGCCCTCACACAAATCGATTTTTTATGTGGCGCATATCTATTTGGTGCCTCCTTATCCAATGTTTGTGTTCAGAAAATAAATAAATAAATAAAACTGAAGTTAATCTACCTGGGCTAGGATACTACCCGGGTGCCCAGACTGGGACAGACGGTTCTCTTAAAAGGCCATACGTCGAGCCTTTGACCTGAAGGTCTGATCCACACGGCAGTGGAACAACGTCAGGAAATGCGGTCAATTTCTTTAACAACACCCCCGCCACGAGAAGGTAGTGAGTAGGACTTTCCTGCAAACACGAGAAAATCAGTGTGGCTTCAGACCTGATCGTGGCTGCATCGACCACATATTCACTATTCGTCAGATTTTAGAATACAAACATGCTTATCGGCCTCCAATAATGGTGGTCTTTTTGACTTACAAGCAGCATTTAACTCTGTAGACCTACAGGTTCTGTTGCAGTGTCTATCATAAAAAGAGTGAAGTAATCCATCGCGTCGACAACTTCACTTATCTCGAAAGTATGATCGGCCCTATCGAGTTGGTGTTTGACGAAATCTCTGCACGGATTAAAAAAGCTCGTTTACCTTTTGCCAACTTACGTCAACTACGGCGAAGGCGATATATCCGTCTATCAGTTAAAGGAAGATTATACTGCTCAGTAGTTCGTTCTGTTCTACTTTGCCGCTGCGAAACGTGTCCACTAAGAGTAAAAGATACGCGTGAGCTACTAGTACTTGATCAATTATGTTTTAGAAATATTGCCAGGATCTGCTGGGATCACCAGGTAAGTAGTAGTGAGGTTAGACGTCGTGTATGAGGGAATGATGGTAAATCAGTTGATGAGGTTGTGAATCTTCATCGACTGAGATGGTTAGTCAACGTGTTACGTATGCCTGAACACCGACCACCACGAAGCGCAATGCTGACTAGTGTTGGGGACGGTTGGAAGAAAGTTAGAGGCGGCCAAACCAAAACGTGACATCAGTCCTTGGACTCACTAACTTCTGGTCTGAGCCATATTGGTAGATGTAGACTACTTGGTTGGGGTCCGGGAAACTATCTTATCCAGTGATTGGAGACTCTTGGTGACATGACCCAGAATCGATCACAATAGCGTAGGTGTCTACACTCTTTGTCTTTCCTTGAACCATGAGATTAAATTTACTTTATACCTTCCTTTCTACGAACTAATTCTTTCTTCCTATATTATGTCTTTATACATAATCTTTCTTTTATATATTACTATCATTGAAGTGACTACTTCTATGAATTCATTGTTGATCTTGTTGTGCTAGTGAGGTGTGGCAGCTTGGTTTGATACATATATATGCCTTATCCTGCATTGCAGCAGAACGACGGACGCATTTTGAGATAGATGAGACCAGGTGATTTTCATAATAGCGAATATTCCCCTTTTTTGTGAGTAAAATGAAAACACATTATTTTCAATGCGATGTGTCACGGATTAGACCTAGTGGTTAGAGAATAATTCCATTGGCGAGTGTATGGTTAATGTTTCCAAATCTTTTATTTGCTAAGTGACTCGCAATCATATTCATTCTTGCGTTCAATATTTTGAATGGAACCATGTTGTAAAGTTAGAAAGAAACCCCATTATTCTGGCTGGTAGTTGCCTTCGCTTTGATGTCAAACCATTCGCGGATTTCACTTAACAATTCCTCCTTGTGAACAATCGTCACTCAGCCACATCATTGATTTTCACTTGTTTATTTTATTCCTTTACTCATTCATTTCAATAATCACAAACCTCATCTATTAATAAAAGCTGAGAACATTTTTGGATTGGAGCTAGGAACATTCTACAATCTTCACAAATCTCTCTATACTAAAAATCATCATGTGATCACAAGTGACTACATTCAAAATGCAACTTGTGGAGTTCTAGTGAAGAGCCGTGACCACTTGAGTTCAACCACATAGAGTGTTAGGCAGTTGTTCACTGCAGGCAATAAGTGTTGTGCATTATCGTGAATTGGTCAAAGTTGAACATGTACACCTCTAGGTGCAGGCTCAGTGGTCTAGAGGTTAGGCGTCCACGTGTAAAAACGAATGGTCTTGGTCTGAATTCCCGGTTGCGGGCTCGTGCATGGCCTTTGGCGAGGAGTCGCATACAATCACCAAAACGCCCATTCAGTGCTTTCAGCTTTTCAGTGGCAGTCTAACTACTGTCACCTCTCAGTTTAAACCATGAAAACGCCTAATTTATAACAAACTGACATTAAATCTCCTCAAGCTATATGTGGGAATGCCTACACGATGTATTTTAACTGATTACTAACCTTGATCTAATTTATACTACCTTGTGATCAATCTTCAGGGTTCTATCACAAATGACAGACTTAGTTATCACCTGTTGACTGGTAAAACTTTGAGAAATATCAACGTTCTCTTTTTGTTGTTGTTTATTATTATTATTATTTTATTTATTTGAACACATAAATATTGGTACAAGGAAGCACCAAACAGATACTCGCCACACAGGTCACTTGCTTTGTGTGTGGGCTGTGATACTGCCTGGGTGCCCAGACCGAAACACGTATTTTCCTTAGGGGACCACGCTCTGAACATTCGACCTAACGGTTTAATCCACAAGGTAGTGGAGCAACGTCATGAGATGCAGTCCCATGGTAGCCGATGACCAACGATAAGTTCATACACCATTTGTCTCCTTTAGGACTTTGGAGCTCGTGTGCACCATTGGTTTGGGATCAGGGTTTTACAACTCCCTCAGGTGCGTCCTTCGTATCCACCATCCTGGTTGAAGCACCGGACACTCGCTTTTCGTCCTCTCAATTTCGTAAACAACATCCCCATCACAAGAAGGCGTTGACTAAGACTTCCCTGTCAGTGATTGTATACGCTTGGCCATGTGAAAGCCTTGGGAGGTGGGCGTACCAGTTATCTCATTAACTAATGAGTTGAAAATCTATTATTTCTTTTCCAACTGTCTCACAGATGGATTTTTTTCAATTTATTGTTTTATCAGGTGAAGGATTTTTTGGACAAGTTTTCAAAATGCGTTTGAAATCAACAAAAGAATCATTTGCGGTTAAAAAAATACCATTTTGCAATTTGGATCCACGTAATCCAGATATGATAGCAGATTTGGAAATAGGGAAATTGCATCCACATCCATTTTTATTACGATCTTATTGTGCTTTCACTCATGTAGATTCTGTTTGGATTTTATTAGAACTTATGGATATCTCGTTAGATGTACTTCTAAATAAAGTAAGCCTTCAATTTAAACGTAATGTTGTGCAATCAGTTATTCTAAGTAGTATGTAAAAGATTAGTGTGTAGAGGCTGCTAAATGTTTCATAAACAAAGTTACCTTTTATATTAACAAGCGTCTAATCTTATTGGCAGTTCGTGTGAAGCAACCAGGTAAAACATTTTTTAATGATATGAATACTACTCTTTATGGGGAGTGAACTAAACTGTTTGTTTTAAAGTATTAACTAGTTTATCGAAAGGATATTTAATAAATATTCAACTAACATTTTACTATTATTCAATGTGTTACTTACAGAACGCGGTAAACTGTAATCCTTCCCATCTAGTTCATTCTACGTGTTTTAATGCAATTGTTTTGAAGACTGTAAAATGTCGCTGGCTATAAGAACTTATAAGTATTCAGATGATGTGTCAAAAATGTCCTAAAAAATATCTTGTGTGATGATTTTTTTCAGTCATCATAAGAGCTTCTACAGTTGGAGATACGAACCTTTTTGGCAAAGTATATAAATAGAACTGGTCTTAATTTTCTAACGAAAATTGTATGGTACGTAAAAGTGGTATTTGAAATAACCTTAGGGATTTAAATTGAAATCATTCCAAAGTTTCTCTCGGATATCTGATCTGAGCATTTTTCACTAAATTTCACCGAACATTTTCAATAACAATGGTATATAAATACACTTACAACGTTATACGTTTCGAATTTTCAACATATTTTACATCAAGTAACTCATTCGTACTATACACCAACATGACAAAACAACGGTTTAGTATAGATTTCCTCTTACATTTTATTTATATTTGATAATTTTGATTATTACCATAAAGAATCTCGGATCAGTTTACTCGGTGAAACATTGAGATTACGTAAATTTTTAGTCAGTGATATAATTTCGTCTAGATACTTAATTCTTAATTTCTGTTAAGCTGATTGTCTAAATTTAGATGAATGTTCATATAAGCTTGCATCTTAATAATTAAATTGTTCTTATGCTAAATTGTTGGAGGCATTCGATAGGAATTCTTAATCTTTAGTCGCAATATATATGTATATTAATACGAAATCTCATGAAATTTTAAATTAATAAATGTTATCAACGAGACAAATTTTATGCATAGTTCAATCAGTGTAAAATGAAAGCTAATTAGTCAATTATTCTGGTTATATAGTGATAAATCCTTTTTCAAGCGAATCAATAAAAGTATTTGTTACACCAATAGATTCATAATGTTATATGATCACTGTTATTCTATGTATTCTCATTTTGATTTTAAATTATTTTACAGGTAAAGGCACTCAATGAATACATTCCTGAAAATGTTTTGAAGCATATAACATTTTCGATTGTTTCAGCATTATATTATTTACGATTCGATATGAATATGATTCATCGTGATATAAAACCGGCTAACATGTTAGCTAACAAATGTGGAGAAATAAAAGTAAGATGATAATCGATCAATTGATTGATGTACATGCGACCATTTTGTAATTCTTTTTCTTCTACTTCGTGTTACATAGACTTAGATTATGTGTTTGTGTACCATATCAAAACAAGATGAGACTGTAATGCTAGTGAAACAATATTCTGTAGTAATTATAAGTAATAAGATGGTGAGATAAATTCACTTAAATTGTTTAAAGTTTCTCATATCTGATTATTAGATATTTCGAAGGTGATTATATAGTGTTCTCTTGATGGGATGTATTGTAAGTCAACGATTTCCCATCTAGCACAGATTATTAACAATGATGATGCTTGCCAGTATTTCTATGTTCTCATCTTATTCAGTTAATATTGTGATAAGAGATAATAAGTAGGCCACATATTATGTATTTCGATCACTTCAGTTTATAGAAAAGGAACAACTTAGTGGTAACTGGCCTATATGGAGTAAGACCATCCTCATACTCAACAAAAGAGATTTCGTACATTGTAGATCACTTAAGAAATAAGGGAAGAACATCTTGTTATATACTTGCTTCGGTTAACAAAGTGGAATGCTTTCCTCCATCTACAGTATACTATCCTATTACAGAGACTTAAGAACGCAGCCAATTTATCTAGCTATCAGTGTTATCATTATTAAACTTTCTTAATTACAGTGGTTTTGGAACTGAATCAAAGGCTGAGGCTTATTCTAGATGTGCTGATCAAATATGCTTATCACCCTTCTCAAAACTGAGAACCATATGATAATTCGGAACAACTGTATCATCTAAGGCATCTATTTCACATTTGTAAGCAAACTGATTTACATTACTAGGCTCCTTCAATACAAGTTAAAGTATGAGTGGCAATAGTTTCTTCACTTGTAACCTTAATAATACTGACTTAATTTTATTCGATAACACATTTATATTACGTGCGCTACATTTGTTAATATCACTTGATCTCGCTACGGTTTAAAAAAATTTCATTACTATATTAGGATTGAAGTAAAATAGCTTAAATAGTTGTCTTTGGAATTTTTTTCACTACTGCTATTTTAATATTATAAATTATATCTACTCTTAAAATTGTACACGGTAAAATGCCAGAATATTTTCTTTTTACTTATTCAGTAATATTATGTTTGACTAAATTACGTGAATATTGCCCTGCAACCATGGTGCTAGACTTAAAATCTTTGTTGCCACGGTATTACAGTGTTGTGGTTAATTGCTGACTATATATATACAGCGCATTGCGAGTATGCTAAGATACGACTTCTGTATAATCAGTTCACTACTGATTTTTTTCCTATTGATCATGACTTGATAAGTTCTACGTAACTTCTATAACGTTTCCACTCGATTGTTGTGAAAATTCTTCAAAGTAATTTTGTAGTTTACTAACTTATCTTTTTTTATCCTAATTTGTTTAATTTTTTTATAGTTAGGAGACTTTGGTACTGCCGTCACCCTTTCCAACTGTGAAATTTTAACGGATGTTGGATCATGGCGTTACCTTGCTCCAGAGCGTGTAAGCTGTGGTTCTATAAAAAGTTATGGAGTTAAATCTGATATTTGGTCTTTAGGCCTAAGCATTTATGAATTGGCTACTGGTACAAACCCATATGAACCGCCTAAAGATCCTGTAGATGCATTCAATCAGGTAATTCATATATATGTATAATATTTGTCCTAACCACAATATTCTCGATTCATTTTCAAAATACTTTGAAATATTCGCATTGTTATTTTTTTCGCATCCACAATGGTAAAAATAAAATCCTAATTATCCTATTAATGAAGTTGCACAAATCATAACTTGTTTACAACAAAGCATACAATGAATCATTTAAAATCCTGGTAATATATACAACTTGTCTTAGTGATTACTTTCAAAAAGAATAAAACGTACAATAAACCTGCCTTGTATTGTACTAGAAGTTTATATTTATTTAAATGGTATTACACAGAAAGATACTGTTTACTTAATGTGTTATAAATGGTTCATTTCAGCATATTTTTGTTCTGCCTTCTGTTTTATTGTATCACTGCAATTAATTATAAATCACGAGGCATTATAGGATTATATATATATAAGCGTGAATAGACTTCTTAATTTTCTTGAAAAATCTTTACTTCAGGTTAGTAAATGAACAACGCCGCATAATCATGTGTTGCTACCATTGATGTGTTGTCTAAATCTCATGATTGATTTACTAGTAATTTTTACGTTCTCAATAGTTAAACAAACATAACTATATTTATTACTTACTGATGTGTTTTTGTTTTTCTAATGATTTTGTGAAAAAAGTTTAAAATGGCCAGATTCAATATCATTAGTACATTCAGCATAATCGTAACATCATATTAAACTTAAACAATTAAAATATTTCAAAAACAAGAAGTTATTTTGAGTTCAGTAACTGTAAAGGGATGAATAATCATTTGAGAACTGACAAATCATATACAATGGTGGACCATAATTATTATATGCAAGTGTATAATGCAAATTGCTAAGTTTAGTACAATGATGCACTAACTAGATCATCTATCTAAATATGTTGTTTTATAAAATATTTTAACAGATAGATATCAATTATCTAAAAGTGTTTTAAACACTTAGAAAGTTTTCTTGAGTATTACTTTTCTGTAAAAATATATCATTGACATTAAATATTTGAGCATATTGTTTTAATGGAATGTTTATGAGTATTTCTACGAAATATTTCTGTCAGTATTATGCTAATCACTAATGATAAAAGTTGAGTATTTTTCTTCAAAAAACTTGTTTAAATGTAGTACTGTGTTGTTACAATGTACTTGTTAATATCAGATGGGTTTTGTGGATATTATAGTAATTTCAATGGTTAAAATCATGAGTCAGTTGAATCTAGACCACCATGGAAAACCTGGAAGCACTGGACGGCTGTTAAACTTGTATAATTATGCAATTTTATGTAAAGAATTCAAAAAATCTAATTATTATCCATATGAATTATCTTCAATGCACTAGTTAATTTATGTTTCTTGACTACTTTGAAAATATGAGTAATATTTCGCGAAATACATTAACATGAATGATGTTTGATAATATCGGTTTAGATTAACGTAATCAAAAGAGTTGAAACAGGCAACGAATATAAATAACGCTAGACAACTATGCAGACTAATATCGGGAACAAGTATTAAAAGCCAAGTGTTACTGGGACTATCTCGGAAAAGGATGAAGCTTTTTCAATCTAGTGAATTAGTTAGCAGTGGAGAACAGTTCAACTGATCTCCGACCACCTTTCAATTACTCTGTAACTCCAATCAGCCTCATTGGCAAATCAATACAGGTTTCCTAAATTCTAGTGAGGTTAAAAAGGCTAAAGGTAATTTAAGATCAGGGAGAGCAAGGGACCCTGATGAGTAAAGCCCAGAGATCTCTAGGGATCGTGGTCCAATTCATGGTACAGGGTAACAAATCGGTTGGTGAGGTTGTGAATTCATCGATTTAGGTGGTTAGAATACGCGTTGCATTTGCTCAACCACTGCATACCTCGATGAGTAACGCTTGTTAATTCAGAAGTACGTTAGATGAAAGCTACGGGTAACCAAACCAGAAAGTAGCATCAGTCCATGAAATCATTAACTGTTGGTCTGAGCTTTGCTGGTAGATATAGACTATCTAGTTGGAGTCAGCTTGATAACCGCCATTAGGGGTTAACGACTTCGGGTAATATGGCTGAGAATCATTCAAAATAGTGGAGATGCATTTTATGTTTATGTTTCTCGCGATTTAGGATTTGAGTATACCTTCATACATACCTTTCCATTCTTTCTTTCTTTCCAAACCATATTCAAAATATTTAGTTTTTCTTTTTATCATTACTACTACTTTTTGCTTATCACTTTTGCTATTTCCATCTCGTCCTGATGTGGTATGGCAACTTAATCCAACGCAATTCCTTTGAAGGCTCTATTTTCATCAACTTTTTTAAGTATCGGTTTAAATTAAACATACTTTATTAGATATTTGTACTTATACAACCTTATCTCTTAGTACGTGACAGTCCATTGAGTGTACAGGTTATTTTTATTTTATTTTGTTTGAACACATAGATATTGGTACAAGGAGGCACCAAATACGTATGCGCCACACAAATCTCATTTGATATGTGTGAGAGCTGTGATACTGCTAGGGTGCCCAAACCGAAAAAGATGGTGTTCTTGGGGGGCCACACCCAGAGCCTTCGACCCGAAGGTCTGACCCACAAGGCAGTGGAGCATCGTAAGGAGATGCAGTCCCATGGTAGCCGACGACAAACGATTGGTTCATACGCCATTTGTTCATTCAGGATACTGGAGCCCATGTGCACCATTTGTTTGGAATCAGGGTTTTACAATTCCCTTAAGTGGGTCCTCCAAATTCAACAACCCGGTTAAAGCACTGGACATTCGCTTTTTCTTCCTCTCAATTTTGTAAACAACATCCGTGGTGCGAGAAGGCAGTGAGTGGGACTTCCCTAGCAGAGGCTATATACGCGTGACCATGTGAGAGTATTTTGAGAGGGAGAGCGGACTGTTCTCACTCTCTGTCGTACCAGGGCATTTGGGGGCATTTTGTAAACCAAATAGTAAAATATCCTCATATTGGACAATTAGATTTTTTCTACATGAATACATATTTAAATTTCTTAATATTTTGACTTTTATTTCTTAGATTGTAAATCGTGATCCTCCAAGTCTTTCAAGTGATCTACCATATTCTAATCATTTACGAGATTTTTTAAATATGTGCCTTATTAAAGAAGTTAGTGAACGAGCAGATTACAATGATTTACTAGTGTCCGATTTTATTCGATCCGTTGATGTTAATTCTCATTTGATTACAACAGCACAATTCTTAATGAAATATATTTAATGAAAATTTTAATTTGTATTTGTCACCTAGTCAAACTTCAAGGATGAATATATATATATATATATATATATATATATATATATATATATATATATATATTGAGCAAAGATATATGTCGTTAATTTTGTCGTATATTCTTGTTGTATATTACATTCTAATACATTATGTCTATATAGGGCTGTGAATATTAATTTAAAATAGATTCTCTTATTTGTATAATCTGTTCCTGTACACATAAAATGGGATTTCTTTTCGTTAGATAATAATTGAACACTACAGTTTATTTTTTTTAAAAATAAATTCATTTGGATATTGTGTTTTCTTTTGTACAACTGTCGTTCATCTCTCTCGTTCACTGAAACGTTTTTTTTTGTTTTACCACCTTTTTTGATGGGATTACTATCATGGGTTTTGTTTTATAATCAAATATTGATGTTAGATAGAAGGATATGTTTTCAAAATGTATCTATGTAAACCAGTTCCCCTGTCTCTCTTATTTACCATTTTTAATTATTTCATTTATGTGATATTTTGTAATCTATTTTTATTATTTTTTTTTACAATTGTACATATTATTTCTTACGCACAATGTGTAGTTAGCAAAAATTTATTTTCTTTATTTCGTTTATTCAAAAATGAGAATTGGTATAGATCTGAAACTTTCTAATTAATAATAAAACTGGACAAGATTATGTCCTGGTTATTCTTCGAAATATTTCTTTGTTCATCTTTCCGATGTATGTTTAGTTGATATTTTCTTTTAAATGTATACTTATCTATCTATTTTTTACAGTTTGATATTTTACCATTATTATCTGTGATAGTAATAATAATAGTTATTATTATTTCTATTGTTAAACTTTCAAACTTCAATTCAATATAGGTATGAGATTTCCAGTGCTACGTTCTCTTAACTGAATGATTTTATCGCAAGGTTTTTGTTGTTCTCTAAATCATTACCAATGTAGGAGTGAGCTTTCAGATCGTTCATTCCACAATCGTTAAGTTAGTCTGTTCTGGTGACCTGGTTATATCTGTGGAATGCATATCTGACTTTTGTCGGGTTCTGAAACCCTAAATGCGATGGCACGTGGTAAGAAAACAAAGGCTAATGATAAGAATTTCTTTGACTCTGAAAATAAGTCAAAACGATGTTTGAATACACCACTTTATATGATTTACTCCCATTCAGATATGTATAGGTTGAACTGAGTAATATTTAATATCAGTTAAACATTGAACTTAATAATTTACAATATTATACAGTTAACTATCTATAATCAAAGAATATAGCTAATTGACCAAGTCACATAATGACTTAAAAATGTGATTAAATGTCACAGACAGTCGGGGAAATTCAACCCTACATGATATTCTCACTCCGATCGATTAAGCTGTTGGCTACTATACCAGTCTTCTCATGTATTATCGTCGTAGTTTACCCTTTTGTTACGGTTGATTGGTTTGTTCAATTGACCTGAATCAATGCATCCGCTACTTATAAAGAGATCTGAGTATTATGCTTTTAAAAATTCTCTGAATTTTGACATTTTTCTAATAAAATCCTCCAGTCGTTTGAATACATTGATGTGATTGACAGTATAGCATATTTTCTAAAAGTGCAAATTGTGTTCGTGTATACATACGCTTCGTTCATTGTGGTATGCTCTGTATGTTATTCGGCTAAATAATCATTAGAAAGAAGTACGAGATTACGCTTCTGATTGGTTTTTATAAGGACATTTCATAGTACAATTAGCCACTGAAGTGTGAGTCCTACCTGCGGGATCTTAGATGTCCACTGCTGAGGAGTCCCATACCAGGAAGAAAAGGCCTTCCAATGCTTCCTAGTTTTTAATGGTGTACCAGTATTGTTAGTTTCATGATCTAAACTGATCAGTTAAATTTGGGTGTGTAAAACTGACTAACTGTATAATTTTTAAATCCGATATTTGATTACAAAAACGAAGTATTCCTGTAATGCTTTTAGTATAAACTATTTGAAGGGGAATCATTTTATAAAATGTTTTCGCGTTCAAATTTTTATCCGCTGATTAAATAAAGACCAACCACTGGACTAGGAAATGTATTTTACAAATATTTCAGTAAGTGAAAAACACCATAAATCATCATGAAATTATTGTATGTAGCGATTTATATAGTAGATTAAGTTTTAAAATATCTTTTACTCATTCGGTTTCTAATTTTATTCCATTTCATTGTCGCAAAATAAAAGAATGTCAATGTGATCACATAGTCTCGATGTCTGATGAAATTGTAGTGGACTTAGTGTAGTTATGGGACCGTAGCATGTAAAAAGTCTTAGGTTTCCGGACTATGATAATTGCTCAGTGCTGAGCAAATCAAAAATATCCAGTAGTACGAAGCTACTCAGTTGTCTTGTGAGGAATAGTCATAACAAAGTATCCATCTATTGAGACATCTAAGAATCACTGACAAAATGATTTTTTTTCTGAAGGAGATATAGTGTTTTGTTAAAAAGGGTTGATGATATTTGCCATTACCAACATACATCAGCTGAAAAATCAGTGAATATAAAGCATCTATTTCGATCTAGTTTGAGATCGCTTAGTAATGTATTCGTCGTAAGTGTGCAATACTGATTTTTAATGGTTTCTCAGCCAGTATCGGCTCGTCATGAAAATTACCTATTTAGAGTATAGCTATTTTTGTCATTCCAGATAGAGCAAGAGTTTTATGCATGTGTAGCTAAACATATGCAAATTAGCATATTCAGATCTAAAGATATCGAGTAATTTGAATCATGCTTATTGATAATGTGTCAACACTTATTCTATAATTTCTTTAAGATAATCAATTCTAATATATTGATAATAGGTAATAAAGTTGTGTGTTACACTATCTGATCAAACTCTATAAACATAATAGTGAATAATCTTTTCTTATCTGTTAAAAAATAAAACAAAATTTTCATAATGTTGATACCCAATTTTTGCATTTCACTTGAAATAAATAGACATTAAAAATTGATTCAATGATTATTTTGTAGCGTGGAAAATATTCTTTTACGACAGAAATACACTGCTTAAAAAATAGCTTACATAGATTAAATTCTTTTTCGAATTATTAAAGTACTTTTACTACTACTGAAATCATATAATAATAATAATAATAATAATAAAGAGAATTGGAAAATAATAAAATGGAATTTCTTAAATTTACATTAGCTCTATACGCTTGAAAAAAACCCCCCTATATATTTCACTACAATATAAAAAGTAAAACACAGTAATTCATATTCATTTAAGAAAAATAAAATAACTAAATTGATTCAATTTAGTGAATGTTTCAGCATAAAAAACAATATGTCTAGTTTGTATAGTTATGAAAATCAAGTAAACTTTGTAACAGATTGCTATATTTGGAGAGATTCAGTGACACAATGACAAGACAAGCTAAATCTTTTCCGATCCGTCCCAGTTCTGCTAACTAAAGGGAGAAGACTCGGTTCAGATGATGGAAAAGTATATTTCACCTGCATCCAGGAACACGAACAACCACAAGCACACAAACGAAGCATATATATATATATATATATATATATATAGCATAACAATGCCCTTGGGAAACGTCACAAAATAGCATACTAAAAAGGGTAATGAACCAATGACCTTTAGGGTCCTTTCAACTGGGAAATACAATGTGAAGGTGAAAATGAGCGCCTTCGGTGCGAAAAAGAGATATTCAAATTTTCAAAATAAAATTACAAAAATTAGATGTCTACCAAGTGATTTCTGGGGATCTAGCACTCAAGCACAAATAGAAGACTACATAGTTTGAAATCATCCATTTTCAGAATAAATAAATAATTTATTTATTTGTTAACCATTAGTGATCATTCAGACTGATTTGTTTTGTCAACTCAACAAAATGACATTAGTGATTTAAATATTAAAATAGAAGAGTTATTTTATATTGACGTTCACCTTCGCCAACTTAGACTTTGTTTTCAGTTATAGGCTTCTTTACTTAGATTTTAGTCTTGCTTCTAGTTTAAATTGTAGCAAGTGGTAGCCTCATAGTTTTTCTGAAATCATCTACAATGTATGAAACTTGTAAGTATTAGACAAACAGCCCAATAATATCTGACCCATTTTTTAACTATTCTAATTCTAATAGCATACATTTGATCTGGAGTATATATATATACATACTTCAACATTTCAGTGATATATTGGTTTGGTCAGATGTTAATGAATTCCATGCATCGGATAATGAAGCTATATTCCATTCATTTGTGCCTTTAATTCGAAACTTTGTTATAATGTTATTTATATAGCTTTTAATTACCCTAAAATATATAAATTTATTCTTAAAGTGATTAATACCATCAAAAGAAAGATAATGTAAGATGAATTCTTATTACAAATGTCAACAATTCATTTGAAGTAATTATTCAAATGGCTATAAATATGCTGAAACCAAATCGATATAATGAGTCGTTTGTTTTCGTGATATGAATGAATTATTTATTATATCCATTTATATTTTCAAGTGTCAAGAAATGTATTACATACAATTTAATAGTTAAGAAACAAGAAATTATTTTTTAAAAAAATTCTTACATCAAATATGCAAATAAGATTTACTATTAAAAGTACATTTTCACCGATTTCATTTAGACAAGTTCAATAATTAAGTTTTAATTTGTTCGGTGTCACACGTGATCAGGTAATAATAATAATAATAATAATAATAATAATAATAATAATAATAATAATAATAATAATAATAATAATAATAATAGTAATAATAATAATAATAATACCATTACTAGTTGCCACAGTATCTAAACGACACAATTTAGCTAAATTTGTCTCTAATTTAATTGTATACAATGAACAGATGATAGTTTGTATAGGTGGTCTGATCTATTTATTTATTTTCAAAGTCTCATTTCTAAAATAATCTACACTATTTATCTGAGATACCAGTACAGCAATTAGTGATATTATGATTCGATATCGTAACCTTTATTTCTAGTGTGCTAGATGATGAAGATCATTCAGGTTGAGTAGCTTATTATGTAAAGTTTGAAAGCTTAAACTGACGATTTAGACACATGTACACACTCAGCCGTTGAGTTTCAGGCAAAATTGTCGCCGGTAGATATCACTCCACTTAACTTGACGCGTAAGTGAACGTGTTCAAAATTATTTTATGTTGCTTAAAGACTACAACATATTTGGACGGTCGCGCAATATCGTGTAGTGGTTGAAGTTAGAAATTAACACCACTGGATGCCGGCTCAGTGGTCTAGAGGTTAAGCATTCGCGCGCAAGACCAATTTTCATGGGTTTAAGTCCCGTATATGGGGTCATAGATTCACACAGTTGAGGAGTCCCGTACTAGGAAGAGACGGCCACCCAGTGTTATCCATGGTGGTCTAGCCTCAAATGACTCATGAATTCAACTATTAAATTACTACGATGTCTACAAACCACCATTCTGGTCATTGCTATTCCAATGATCGACAAACAGCTTGACATCAAGGGTGCACACATGAATATTTACGAAATAATGTTTTTAATAGACTACAGGAGACATCTAGAATATGTAGCCCTGTAACTTTCAAAGAGCAAGTGAGGTAGATCATCATTGAATTCATAGACAAGAAAACAATTTGCAATTTTTAATAGTTCATTTAAATGTTACAAAATATACAAAGTAATACTATTACAGATTAAATGATTTCCAAATTATACAGATGTTGACTATGCCTGAACACCGATTACCACGTCGTGCAATGCTAACGGGTGTTCGGGATGGGTGGAAGAAAATTTGGGGCGGCCAAACCAAAACATGGCATCAGTGCTTGAAGTCACTAACTCCTAGTCTTAGCCATATTAGTAGAT